AGAAATGGAAAGAATGAAGAAGAAAACAAATTGGATGCCAGCAACCTCTGGGGCTCATCATATGAACAGGCTGAGAGCCCAGTGTGGCTCCAAAGGTTGTCCATCCCTAGCAATTTTCATAATTGCCATGACAAAGTCTTCTTCCTTCCTTCCATGTGGAAATGCCATGATAGTTGGACAATTCAACTGTCAAGGTGAGAGATCTGCTATGTGTCCAAATATGTTTATGAAGTCCTCTTGATAAAACTGCAATCTTTTGGTCCAAAATACAGCAGGGTCTTCACTAACAATACATTCTAAGTCCCATGGAGTAGAAATACAATAATTTGAACTAATTAAATCCTTATTCCAATTATTTGTCATTAAGTCACTGCAGTATTAAACATACCATTTAGTTTTGTTCATTTGATGTAAAAAATGGATATGAATATATTTCCTGATTCTTCTTTCACCCCTCTGTCCTTTGAGAACATGGGAAGTAGATTGCAAGTCTGTCAGCCACCTTTTTTAAAAAATAGTTTTTTAAAAAAGTATGCACAATATTTTCTAAGTGCAAGTCATGGCAATTATGGAAATAGGTAGTGATGGCCCCAGGCTACACTGAGCCCTCAGCCTGTTCTTATAAACAGAGGTTGCTAGTGTCTTCTAAAAAATCTATGAGAGAAACAAACATATCAACATAGCTCAATATGAAATTATGACAGGATACATGCACACATTCACATTCTACATGATTCATATATTTCCTGGATGTATGTTATAACACACATACATAAAAGCAAGATTTGGCTGGTTAATAACACTAACAGGAAAGAGGTTGAATATATGCCAGCTGCTTACATCACCCTGTTGCGTAATTTCAGACCATGCATGCTAGGAGATGGAAAGAAAGAGTTAATCCCCTAAAGCACACAGTTGCTCAGGAACATTCAGGCGTGACTGGTGTTTTTTTTTTTCATTTCTTCCGAAGGTGCAGTTACACAGCAAGCACCTTAGAAAGCTAGAGCTATTGTTAGTATTGGAGGGGTGGTTCTGTTCAGGAAATAATAGACAGGTAATGGCTGCCTCCGATTCAAGTTGTCCTGAAGAGCTGGCTGAAGATCTGGCAGTTCAGGATCCTGTAGTAAACGGCTCACCAATCTGTGAAGAAAAATGTGGGAGTAGAGAATTGAAAAATGAAGGAACATCTCTTATGGAACTTGAAAGCAAAGATCCATGTCACAGTGAACCAGGCCTGGGAGACCACCTGTCTGAAAACGAATCATCCAAGGACTGCTCACCCAGTATCTTGAGAGAAAGTCACCCAGAAGAGAAGCAGGAGGAGGAGGAAGAAGTGCTTTGTGATTTCTGCCTAGCAGAAAAGGTGCAGGCAGTAAAATCCTGCTTGACCTGCATGGTAAATTACTGCCAGGATCACTTGAGGCCTCACCTGGAGAATGTCAAACTACAGAGCCATAAACTTATGGATCCACTAAAGGACATTGACATACAGAGCTGCAAGACCCACAAAAGGCATCTCAGCTGGTTCTGCCACAGTGACCTAATCTGTATCTGTGAGGAGTGTCTTTCTGATGGACATCAAAACCACCAAACTGTAATCTGTGGGATAGCCAGGAAAGAAAAAGAGGTAACAATTGAATATAAGTTTATGGTTAATATGATATGTAGGAGAATTGTCACAGCCTGGTCAGTGCTTGGAAATAAGAGGCCAGAGAGTTCTTACTTTCACACTTAGCCTTTCGTAAGGTCATTTGCATGGACATTAGGGACTAAGTCACAATGAGTTTCCCTATTGTTTCTTGGGTTGTGACTTAGCGGAACACATGAATCTAAATACTCATTTATGCATTTTATGCAGCTTTATGTATAAATCCTGCCTCTGTGGCTTATTCCATGAATCATGCCTTAGCATGCACTTAGGCTTGTTCCTAAATGAACATGAGAGAACTATGTTATACTGGGATTTCATGAATTTGCAAGTGGGGTATTATGAAATAAAAGCTTCCTAGTGAAAGAGGATTGAGTTTTTTTTTTCAATAGGGAGAAATCCTGATGAGCAGAAGGACTTTCCTACTTTCTATGAGAAACTGACTGTCATGCCAAGCATGACATCTGGTATATTCAGACTACTTATGAAACACCTGGATTTTGCTTAGTTCCTATTGACTAAGGCAATCGGCATTTGACTGATTCTCAGGCACAGTGGAGGAATTTAACTATTTTATGATACTTCTTGGGACTAATACCAAAGGTTACAGCCAATTTTATTTCCTGTAGGAGAACCCTGGAATTATATCCACATGTGGTGGTTCTTGCTGTATCATTATAAATTCTTCCTTTGTGCAGAAAAGCTAAAAATGCCCTCAAAAATGGTCAAAACTGAGCACAGCTCTTGGTGACTTCCAAGATACAATTGTGCAATTTTCCTGGCAATATTATGGGAGTGGTTTGTCATAGCTGCTCCTATGGTTTAGTTTTCCCTACCTGAGATTCCTGATCCTGCTTAGTTTCTAAACTTAGAGAAGTTCAGCTCACTTCCCTTTTTGAAAGGCAATCCAATATTTTTTTTTCACCCAGCTATGCATTTCAACTGAGTGCACATTTTTCTTAACAAACCTTTGCATCTCTGCATCATTGCAAAAGCAAACAGAGAACAAATTTCTTCACTGTCTTGTAAATATGGAGTTTGAAATAATTTCTCTCTGAGGTGGGTTTTTTCTATGTTTGCTTGAACTTGAATTCAGTTTTGAACAAACAAGCATGTCTCCTTCTCCTATAGGGTGTTCCTTTTTATGTCCCAGTTTCCACAGTGAAACATTTCATGCCTGAAGCATAGATAATATGAAAACAGTTCCAAATGGTTATGAATCATATCTTAGGTGGAGAAATCAGGCATTTATAGCTGTCATAAATAAACGCCTTTTGTTGGTATAAACTTTTTACTACTTTTTCTGTTAATCTTCCTGTTTTGCAGGATAAAATTACTAGTACCGGTTATTTCTAAACCGGTTATTACTAAACAGAGTTGTGTAATATTCACTGTTGTTCCTCCACTTTATTATGCCTTAATCTCTCTTCTTTTGCTGTCTTTCACCTCAAGGGAGTAAAACCTGACAGGAAATTGGAATCCTTTTCACAATATCTCAATCCTGTTTGGGACAGAATTTTGTTTCATTTTGATTATGCTTATTTAATAGTGTAGTCTGTTCCAAATATAAACAATTAAAAGAGCTAAAATGTAGCTAAATTGCATTGTGTTGGTTATAAGATGCCACAGAATAACGATCAGTAGGACCTTCAACCTACTATTCTTCTTAGGAGCTTCTTGTGTGCAACTGGAAAGGAACAGTTACTCATACTTAACATATTAGATTGAGTGGATCACAGTAAAATCAACTGGAAGAAAAAAATGGGAGGAATAGACATGAAGAGACTGCAAAGTATTAGAGAACATATAGACATTACCTTCTAAATCAATGAGCAATCAACCAGTTTATTTTTTTAACTGGTTTGCAATGATAGTAGTAGATATGTCTAGTGACATTCTCCAGATAAGTATTTTTTTAAAAGTTGAATTTTGGGGAGTTTAAGAGGCTGGGTGCCTTAAGCTTTTAAAGGACTTAAAACAAATTTGTTCACCCATTAACTGTTTGAAGGAGGAAATTCCTGTAATAACATTTTTTAATACAGGATTTTGGGATGGCAGTACCTTCATTTATATATTTTTCTTAAACATTGATGTGGAATTTGTGTATCATAAATGTGATACTGAGAGCAATGAAGTCAATGTCCCTTCTTTTTCTTTTATCATTCAACAAATAAAATATTTTCTGTAGAAAAGTTATTCCCCTATTGCTATATGGAATGAAAATATGGGGAATGGAAAACTGGACATCTTGCAAATGGGATAATAATCAATGTAAAACAACTCTTTTGTCTCTTCCATTGATAATCTTCATGCTTTATTGAAAATGGAAGAAGGCTAACTTGATCACCATAAGAGAGAGTGTTTAAAATCCATTTTTCTCTTCTTTGTAGGGCTTGTCAATACTTTAGATCAGTGTTTCTCAACCTTGGAAGCTTGAAGATGGGTGGACTTCAACCCCCAGAATCCCCCAGCCAGCACTGCTGGCTGGGGGATTCTGGGAGTTGAAGTCCACCCATCTTCAAGCTACCAAGGTTGAGAAACACTGCTTTAGATTTTCCCTTGGTCACTGTTTCTGGAAATGTTTTGAAGCAGAAGGATGGGTCCAGTCCTGTTTATGGCATTTTAACTATATTACCTATTTGTGAAACGTGTATAATTCCAAGTTCTAAGGGCAAACTATAGAATTTAGTTATCGTCAATAGACAATTTTAAGGACTGGAACACAATCTTTACTTCAGATTATCATACATGGTTTGGTCTGATTAAATTCCACAGAGAAATATCTTTTTTTTTCTTTTTAATTAGCTAAATATAAAATAATAAAATTACACAAAATTATAAAAGGAGGAAAAAAACTGGAAAAGGATACAAAATGTAATATTTACAACATATATTTATTAATAAATGGAAACTGTGATTCATTACATTCATGGTTGATGTATGTTAATCAATTCTGCAAGCCACTAAATAGTTGGAGCCATATGTTTGTGTTTCCAACGTCGAACAATATGTCTTTTGATTATGTGTTCATTTTCTCTGTCCAAAAGTCACCTCCCGAGATAAATCTCAAGATTGAGTTAATACATGTAATTGCTTCTTACCAAAATGGAACAATATATTTAAATCAAGCATTCGTTTCACTACCTCTCCAAAAACATAAATCGTTATGATAGTTTCTGCAATACTGTTTCTTATTTAAAAGAAAGTGATCTGAAAATCTGTTGAAATGTTGGATTTTTAAAAAATGTCTCTTTTATTCATTTAAGTAAAATGTACAAGCAAAAGGGGCAAAAAGAAAAAAGAATACATATATATACTTACAGGAATTGAGAAAAAAAATTAAAAGGCAAAAAAAAAAAATCAATAAAAGGAGCATTCTGGTGCTCATTCTCTGTTTCATCCCCTACTTTTAATCCTTTCCCAGACTCTAATTATCGCTTGGATACTTTTCATAGTTTACTTTGGAGATTATTACTCATTTCTGTTTGGACCATTGGAATCTCTAATTATCTTTGTGTTTCAACTCCCAGCTTTAAAGCAAGAGTTTACAGAACTCACATTCTAGTTTATGCCATTAATGTGCCTGGATAGAACAGAGGTGTCAAACTCAAGGCCCGGGACACAGATTTTAGAATTTAGAAACAGTGAAGGACTGGCCCACAGTGCTTCTGCCAGTGAAAACAGGCTCCTGAGTTCCGTTTATGGCTGCCACGGCCTCCTGCAACCCTCTGCCAGTGAAAACGGAGCTGGCCCTCCCCAGCTCTGTTTTCACTGGCAGAAGGTAGCTGAAAATGGAGCTCGGGAGCCTGTTTTCACTGGCAGAGCGCTTGAGCCACCACAGGCACCCCCAACAGGAGTGATGTCGAGCTGGACACGTTCACTCTGGCCACACCCACCTGGCCCACTGACACAACCCTGATGTGGCCCTCAATGAAATTGAGTTTGACATCCCCTGGGAAAGAGGATATCAGAAACTACCAATGACTTTATGATTCTGTGGTACATCTATGTGTGCATATAGCACTTAAAAGTCATTTTTACTCTCTATTGAAGCAGCAAAGCTGTAGTTTGTATCAGGTGCTTCTTTTAGCAGCCATAGAACATTTTGTAATTCAGCAAATAGTGACATATGCAGTTGCACAAAGAAAATTTAGTATAAAAAGAATGTCAGCTATGATACTTGGTTGCAAAGGATATGAATTGTTTTAATATAAAATTGGTTGTAGTGGCTTATTTTTCCACCTACTGTTGATGGTTTAGTTTTAAATCACCCTTATATGTTAGTTCCTGTTGCCTAATTGCTGGTTTGGATGACAATCCTTTTATTTTGATAAGTACTTCATGGTATTGATCAAATCATCATCATCGTCATCGTCATCATCATCATCATCATCATCATCATCATCATCATCTTTTAATAACCCAATAATCCCTTATGGGGTGGAGTCTGGGCAACTGAATGGAGCTAGCAGAGTGTTTCCTGGCCTGATGCCCTTCCTGTCACCACATGGTATTGATCAAATAATATGGTTGCAATAATATGTTAATTAAATATGATAATTCAGTAGCAAGACTTGATCAGGGAGTATCATCAAATTGTAAGTTTTGGATTGCATCAAATTAATTCTAATGGAATTAATTTATACCCCACCTCAATTCTACTGGATTTTGGACAGTTTTTAAGGAAGTACAACCTCATTCAGAATGACTAACATGGATGACTTTTCTTACAGACCAACCACACCCCAATCTTATCTACATCAAGTGTTGGTTTATTACGCTTCACTTTACCTAACTTGTCTGGCTCCATACAGAAGCAGTTTTCAGTCTGAATGTTCATGAACAAAAATGAACTCATTCATGAGATTTCAACAGCTGTTATGTGACTTCTCTCCATGTATAACACCTGGTTTATCTATCAACAGTGTGAACTTCTTCAACATCAAGAAGAATATGATTGGAAATTGAAGTCAGCTGAAAATGCAATTGTTAAATTGGAGAAGAACTCAGAGTCTATAGTGGTAAGAATTAAAACAGAGCATCTCTGTTCATTAGAGATTCAGCCCTTGGCAATGATAGAAATGACTTGTGTGCTTTAAAAAGTCTTCCATATACTCATTGCTTGGCAAAAGGTATACTTGCAGACAGGTGGTTTTTTAATAGATCCAGTTGCCCCACAAATAGATCGGATATGAACTAGTTTGAAGATTATAGGTGCTGCACCAGAGATTTAGGATAGCCATTCCCTAGAATCTCCCAGGGGATATCCATTTGGGTTAGAGTGGTATAGGTTTAGTCTTGCAAAATTCTATCTATATGGTGCAAATAAAGAAAACTTTGGCTGGATTGTTCCAGGTCATTCTTGAGCTGGGCATAACACTCTCCAAGGCATTATTGGAAATTACAGTGCTTGCATTCAGGCTTATGTGACAGCCTCAGATCAGACATCAGTGCTGGTGGTCTTTGAAGACCTCTGTTGACTTCCCTAGAAAATCTGATGAGGATGGGGACATTATTTGAATATTTTCTTATAGAAAAATAGACTATATTTAAGCACTGTTGTTATTTCTTGAACCCTTTGAAAAGAAAACATAGGAATTTTTCAGTTACTGTTGAGAACACTAGGCCCATGTCTGCAAAATACAGCTGTTGGCTGGTTGAGAATGGTCAATTCATGGAGTTCTTTCATTTCCTTCATTTCATTTCCTTCATTTCAATAACTCCCTTATTTCTGTGCAGACATTTTGAGAGTTGTATGTAGCTACTAACAAAGAAAGCCAAATCTATTTAAAGCATTTAAACTGTCTGTCTGAACATACTGTCTGAATTATCTGAATTAATTCTTAAAGATTAGCAATTCCCAAACCTTTAAATGGGTAATAAAAATAGAGAACATAAACTTTGGGTAGGGTATTTTTTTTTAAGAGGGGGGATTGTTAAACCATTTGAAGATTTCATCTACTCATCCTTAGTTTTATTTTCATAGATTCCCTTTGGACTGTTTCTCGTTAAACTAATTTAAGAGTAACCAATGAATTCATTATCAACTTCTGGAAAGATCTTTAAGCTTCAGAACCCTCTGGCTACTTGAAAGCATTTGAAGGCTTTTAAAATATTCATTTACACGTTCAGCCAGAGAGACATCAGTGCAATATACCAGGGACATGTGTTAGATTGTACCAAATCCCAAAATGAATTGTGTGATTTCAATTCTACATGCCAAACTAAGGTTCTCCCCGTGTGTGAACAAAAACGAATCAAGACTTTTATGAAATCTTGCAAGCAACTAAACACTCCTGAAGGCTGCAGATAATGACAAAATTCTTTTATCTGCTAATCCAATGGTTATATCATTATAGACTGTTAAACGTCCCATAATGTTATAGTTAATACATAGCCTTGCATGTGTGATGACAATAGGTAAATATGTACATGTTGTGCCACATTACAAACAAATCCCATTACGGCTTAGCATGACATATGAACCCAGCTAGCAGACTTATAAAAACACTATTTTGCTTTTCTCCGTATCCAAAGTGCCAGGAAAGAAGGTAGAGGGGTAGACAAAGGGACAGGGGGTGACTAACAGATTTATCTTTCATTTGCAGTGCTATTTATTAATATAAGGTTATTTATAGGGTTCATCGGGGACTTTCAAAGTTATAGTTTTGCACAAAGGAAACTGATTTATATGTCATTCTTTTCTCTGTGCTCTTTTGTAATGCAAGTTTTCATATTTTAAAAATTTGCATTTAAGTTTTTCTGGAAGGAACATTTAAGGCTAGTTTCATACTTTACATTTTAAAGTCAACATTAATGACATTTAGCACAAGGATTTTATAGTTACCCTTGCATTACTTTACAAGATTCATCTGTACAATATCTGCAGTTTTTACTGGAATTTCTCATTAAATTCCTCCACCCGAGGTGAGGAATGAGTGAACCTTTCACCTCCAAATCTATAAAGACTCCTCTAGAGCAATGTCGATGTTTATGCAGTTTGGCAAGGTTTATCTCACAGACTGCACAGTCCTTCCCGCAGTCATTGTCTAATGTCATCTAACTGTAATGAAAAACAGAAAACTTATAACAGCTTTCTTTGAAAAAAGAAATCAGCATTTGAGGAAATATTTTATTCCTTCAGGAGTGTTTACTGAGCCTGCAGTTTAATCCCAATCTTCTAAAAAGGAAAACACAATAGCAATTTTTGGGGATTTCCAGGGTTAGCCAATCGCAAGTACCAAACTTCAGTTTTTAAAAATCTAAACCAAATGTCCTACTTTATTGTCATTTGTGAGACATTTAACAGCAAAACTGGGCCCAATAGGTGAAAAGTTGAAGTTTCACCCTACTGAAAACTCTTTGGGCCTATACATTCTAACCACCCTTCCTGCCATGATATAGTTGCTTGGTAGTTGCAGCGACAAATATTTGTGTTCCAAGGAATGCTTTTATTTTTCATCTTCCCTCATATTTCCATTGTATGAAAAATAGAGTTGCTAAATCCTGTGTGCCTGACTGGCAAACATAAATGAAAAAAAAATGATAAAAATATAAATGATAAAAATATATTTCACAGTGTCCTTTCCAGGCTCTAGAATTTTGAGGTATGTAAGTAGGGAAACCAGTCCATCCCATCTATTATATTTTTACATATGTCTGTAGGTATGCATGTCTATAAAAATCTTTTACCTATTAGAGATAAATGGACCACTGTAGCAAACATTTCCTGCTTGCTTCCTTGGTCTACCAGATTCTACCAGATTCTACCAGATACCAACCTTTAGCCACAGGCAATCCTTCTTTCCTCCTTTTCCTAGTCCTAGGACATAACTTTTGTCCTCTATTTTTAAAAGCAGAATCTTTTCTTCTACAGAAGAGGACAAACTGGCAGGATATCATTTTTGCCAAGCACTAATATAAGCATCCATCCTCAGGAAGGTGCTGCCAGAAGGAGGCATACTAGGGAAATCTGTGATTTATATGACATGTTGCTAATAGTCTGGAGTAATGTAGGATAATTTAATGTAGGAGAAGTCTAGCTAGGAAAATAAAGAGGCTGTTTGCCACTAGAAGTTTGTCTGGAACAATTCTAGTCAGGCTAAATTTTCCATTGATTGATTTCTTTTGAATAACACTCCATCTTGCAAATTGGATGAAAAACTGGGAAGCCACGTTCAATTTTGCTGTATCTACTAAGAATATACTAAGAATGCACTAAGACAGAATACACTAAGGCCGAAGCTTGCCACCACATCTAGACACAAACTGAGCAATGTGATGTATGCAGTATAATGCAGTGAGACATGTGCAGATCTGTACATTGGAGAAACAAATCAACCGCCTCATAAATGCATGGTACAACATACAGGAGGAGAACAAATTCATCAGGACAAGATTCAGCAGTCCATCTACATTTGAAAAACAAAGGTCACTCTTTTGAAATCCACATTCTGAACAGAGAGGACCACTGGTTTGAAAGAGAGGTAAAGGAGGACATCTATGTTAAAATTGAACAACCCTCTCTCAACAGAGACACCACCTATTCCCTGTTTACAACACAGTGCTTTCAACAGTTCCAAGAAAGTTCCACACCCATTTGCATTCTGATTCAGGTGACCCTGAGGGTACAGAAAAACCCCTAAGTGGCCTCAATGACTCTCAGAGAGTTCAGGGGTGAAATGCTCCTGGTTCGGACCGGATCGCCTGATCCGGTAGCAATGGCAGCGGGTGGTTCAGAGAACCGGTAGCAAAAATCCCTGCCCCACCCCATGCCCAGCTGAGCCACGTGATCATCAGAGGCTTTTAAAAATTATTTTTAAAAGCATTTTTTCTACAACCTCTTCGGCCGAAAAAATGCTTTTAAAAGTAAAAAAAAAAGTGTCTGATGATCGCACAGCTCATCTGGGATCGTCACAGGCTTTTAAAAGCATTTTTTTCTACAACCTCTTGTTGTAGAAAAAATGCTTTTAAAAGCCTGTGACGATCCCAGCTGAGTTGCCTGATCGTCAGAGGCTTTTAAAGCATTTGTTTCTGCAACTCTTAAGGTTATAGAAAAAAATGCTTTTAAAAGTAATTAAAAAAAAAAGGTGGCCATGCCCACCCAGTCACATTACCCCCCCCCCACCAAGCCACGCCCACAGAACTGGTCGTAACAAATTTTACATTTCACCACTGAGAGAGCTAATGACTGACCTTCAAAGTGCTAACAACCAGATGACTGCAAGGAATATAAATCCTTCCATTCCCCACAATTCAGTCAGAACTGAAGAATTGTCAGAACTCCTTCTTGAATCAGAAGTGAAACATCTTCAAAAAAGAAACCCACAGAAAGTCCAGTTGCCTTTTGAAATAGCACCTTTGGGTCATTTTGCTGTACAATATATTAGGCATTCTGGATCTGGCTATAGGTTTGTTTGATTCACATTCATTTAGAACAGAAAGGAACACCAGAAACTGGTTAACAAGTAGCAACAACTATCTGATATTTGGTGTTGTGGATATTGAACATTTTACAATATTCCTATTTCTCTTCTGTTCTGATTTTGTGTATACATGTGTATATGATCAAATCCTCCATGTCTTTTGCTTGTAGATCAAGCTTACCAAATGACAGAACAAAGATAGCAAACAAATTAGAGTTCAAAGACTGAATTCCTTGCTACTTTCTGAGGTGCTGGAGGATGTCAGGGATCAGGGCTTCAGGGAGGCAAGTCTTTCCCACTCTTTTCCACCGCTTGTGCTTTTCAGTCACTGAATAAGCTTCTTTCTTTAATGCAAAGATCATCAAGAGTGATTGCTCTATGTTTTCTACTGCAGAATAAAAAACAATTTATTCTTCCTGCAAAATGGAGGGTGGATTTACTTTATTAATTTAAAAGAACTACTGAGAAACTTTAATTTGGCAGACACGATGGAGAACATCCAGGGGTGGTTGTTATAGCCACAGGCTGAAAGTTCTTTATACTTGCTACAGCAAGTTAGCATTTGATGAGTTATTCTTTATAATAACTTCAAACATAAGATAGGTAAAGGTAAAGGTTCCCCTCGCACATATGTGCTAGTCATTCCCGACTCTAGAGGGTGGTGCTCATCTCCGTTTCTAAGCCGAAGAGCCAGCGCTGTCTGATGACAATTTCGTGGTCATGCGACCAGCATGACTAAATGGTGAAGGCACATGAAACACTATTATCTTCCCACCAAGGTGGTCCCTATTTTTCTACTTGCACTTTTACATGCTTTCGAACTGCTGGGTTGGCAGAAACTGGGGCAAGTAACAAGAACTCACTCTGTTATCTGGCACTAGGGATTTGAACCGTCGAACTGCTGACCTTTCTGATCGACAAGCTCAGTGTCTTAGCCACCGTGTCCCCAAAACATAAGTTACTATTAAAGTAATAATAGTTTTCTTTCTCATTTAGTGGGATGTTACAAGTGAATTGATGTACTATAATGATGGCATGCATAATAGTAAGTTAATACTTGGGAAATAGCTGCTGTGTTTACATAGAATAATTTCTTCTTGAATGTGGCTCATTTTATGTCAGCTTATCTTATGCATCTAAAGGACATTTTGAGTGGAACATGACTGGAAGGACTGCATGGTTATGGGTACAGCTGTACGATTTACTGCATGGTCAATTTAAAATGTCAAACAGATCAGCTTTAAGGCTTTGCAACAAAGGTGGCTTCTGTTCTTGCAGAATTCAATATCTGAAGTGAAACTCTTGGTGGAAGAGAAGTTTGAGGAGCTGCTCCAAGCTGTCAAGGCAACCCATGCCATTGTGCTCACTTTTCTGGAGGAGAAAGAGCATGCTGCAGTTAATCATGCAAATGGAATAAAGATCTACCTTCAGAACCAACAAGTGACAATGGAGGAATGTAGGAAAAGATTGCAGAAGATGGCCACTCACACTAATGATATCATCTTCCTAAAGGTACCTTAAATGATAATAGCAAAAACGTTTAGATCAGCCTTCAATGACTGTTTGCCTTTCTTGAATATTTTGAGTTTCAACCATTAAAGTTCTCTCACTGAAAGTTCTGGGAGCTGAAACCCAATGCATTTCATTTGTACATCATTTGGAAAGGTTGTTTTGGATTAATTTATTTGTTGGCCTTTTCACTAACTATCCTGTATCAGTATTGGTGTTCACATAAAACACAGCTGCTGCTCTGAATCTATAACTGGCCAATATGAGTAGAAGAGTGGTACAGCATGGTGTGATGTCATGAACCAAACCTCTTGATTTGAATATTTTCATTTGATCTTGAAATGAAAATGTGAAAGGTGGGGGGGGGGTTTACATCATGATAACACAATGCACAGGGTTCTTCCTCCTAGCCTTTCCTCCCAGCCATTGTCCAAGCAATGTTCTTATCTCTTCTATATATCTGTGCATATTTAGGAATACTGTGAATTCAAGAAGCATCTGGGAGATGATACATTGCCCAGTGTGTATATTGGCTTGAAAGACAAATTATCAGGAATCCAAAAGGTGATCTCTGAATCCACTGAACAGCTTTTACAATTACTACAAATTTCTTATAAAGAAAAATTGCAGAAGTTTGCCAATGATGGTGAGTACCCATCCATCCATCCATCCATCCATCCCATCCATCCATTCATCTTTAATTTACATGTTTATTCATTTCAATCAATTTTAAGGCTATTCACTTATCAACAGTTCTGATCCTGACAATTCATTAATTCTTAGTCACACTGAAAAATTCTTTCCTTTCTTCCATCTATATAGAAGATGCTGGGATAAAAACAACAGTGGCTGCAATTGTTCCATCCAAACATCGCCTGTCAGCTCCAGAACCTCAAAGTAGGAACGACTTCTTAAAGTGTAAGTTATTGTCCAATCAATTTTTGGTGCAAAATTTGAAAGAATGAAGAAAGCCTTGCAGAATCAGACCAACAATATTGGCTTATCTGAAGACATCTGTGGGAAACTGACAAATAGGAGATATGTACAATTATGCCTTCTTGGGAAATTCAGGGGCACGTTGAACACTGAACTTAATATATAGTTTTTATAAGAGCAGCCATTGATTCATTCTGATCAATTCCCTCTTATGTTTTATTTTCTGTTATCATTTATTGTTATGTTACCTCACTTCGATATATCAAACATAATCATTATAATAAGCAGTAAACACAAGCTAATAAGGCTGTGTGAAGCATTTGAAAGGAATATATCTCAAACAGTAGTGGGTTGCTACCGGTTCACCCCAGTTTGGGCGTACCAGTAGCAGCGGTGGGAGGAGGCTCCGCCCACCCACCCAGATCAAATACAATCTGTATTTGAGAAGTGGTGGGAGGCTCCGCCCACCCAGATCAAATACAATCTGTGCATGCACAGAAGTTTCTGCGTCATCAAATACGGATGTCATCAAATATGATCTGTGCATGTGTGAGTGAACCGGTAGCAAAGGTAAATGAAACCCACCCCTGATCTCAAAGTATATTGATGCAAACAAAACATTCCTCCCCAAAGAGTTAAAGCAGCCATAACCTCTGAAATCTTGACACAGTTTCTTCCAAGGCTTCCCTACAGCCTCTGCTTGCTGGTATATATCCAGTTATTGTAGTGAGTATGGAAGATAGCCTTGAAGGACTACCCTAACTGATACATGGATATGTAGACAAGATTCAGCTAAAATTTTGCTTGGTGATTAAAAATGTTCAGGAAAGGTCTATGTTTCTTCTTTTGATGGCTAGTGTGAGGATATACTTATCCTTGACATTTCATGTGTTAATCGGGCTTCCATTTGAGGATCTGTGGCAGACTAGATAGGAATAGGATCAGCAATGCAGTGGTGAATTCTGGCAGGTGCTGCTTTTCTGGATAAAGGAGAGACATGAGATTGCCCACTTGCACTCTGGGCAATTACTTCTTGTAAGTAGACTGCAGGAACTGAGTTTTTTGTGGTTGACTCATGAATTGAATGGCTGAGAGTCAAAGGATTTAAATCAAGTTCACTGCTATGATGCAGTCTATATAGACACAAGGTTCGCACAAGCCTCACTTTCTTAAATAGTTTTATATATAAAGCATTTACAGTTAAAGAGAAATTTTCTGAGTAGCAGGATAAGAGAATTCCACCTGATGAGTCAACATTCTTTCTGGACTAAAAAGGGGAAAAATTAACAACTTGGCAAAAGGCATAACAAGGAGTGGATGTAAGATAAAGGTGATATATAAACATTAATTGCTAAAATATATATTTTTATATTATAAAAATATGTAATATATTATAATCATATACAAATAATTGTGTGTGTGTGTGTGTGTATATATATATATATATATATATCTTACAAACTATTCTAAAAATACGAGTTTCAGGTATATTAGTAAAGAAAGAAGCAGACATTCTGCAAGCTCCGGAACTTAAAAGTTTAAAATAATTAAAAATTTATTTTACTAAGCTATATATATATATGTATGTATGTATGTATGTATGTATGTATATATAATATATTTTAATATATGAATATTGAAATTTGGGACATAAGAACAAATGAAAGATGGGCTATATTTGGTTATAATATACAGAGAGAACAATGGGAAAATATGTGGGTGAAAGAATAGAAATCTACATTATATTAATATCTTAAAGATAATTTTTTTACAAAATGATTTTCCATTGGTTTATACCACCAGAGAAATTATCTAGAATATATAAAGGAATTTCAAATGACAACAAGAATGACATTTCATAATACTGAGATGATGTGTAAATAAGCTAGAAAATTCTAGATTCAAATAAACATGGTGATTCAGATTTTAAAGATTAACATACAATTGAGACCAGAGACTTTTCTTTTGGCATTAATAGACAATTGGAAAAAAGTAATGGAACTATATTTTGTGTACATGATAATTGAAGCAAGATTATTGTATGCAGAAAAATGGATTTCAAGATCGTTATATCCTGATATGGTGTTGTTCATGATACTCTGACAATTAATTGAGGGAAAACAGTGGTTTTGATGTGAGGTTCCTTACCTATATAGCAAAAGGCACATGGAAGCTGTTCTTAAAGCAAATCTCCTTCCATTATAGGCTACAAGTAAACATTTGCCTACCAATTTGACAAGGACCTTTTTTGTTCTTAAATTTATGGTCATTATGCATTCTGGAATAATCTATGGATGAAATGCAATTATATGCTGTTTAGATGTTGCTAAAAACAGGAAAGGAGCAATTCACTCTTTTTCTAGCTGCCTCAGAACCTGTTTCCACAACACACTTTGAATTCTCACAATTCTTCAGAAGAGATTTTGAGAGCATGCAGAGAACCACAGGGAACAGAGCAGGGGTGGGCTTCAAAATTTTTAGCAAGGGGTTCTCTGCCTGGTTACTGGGTGGGTGTGGCCATGGTGGGCGTGGCCTAGTCGGTCTCCTGCACCATGGCGGGGGGGGGATTTTGCCCTCCCCGGGCTCTGGAGGCTTTTCTTGAGCCTCCAGAAGGGTGAAAACAGCCTCCCCAGGCTCCAGAGACCCTTCTCGAAGTTCTGGTAGGCCTGTTTTTCACCCTCCCTGAGCTTCCGCGCACGCCCTGCTCTTACCTGCATCCAAAACAGGTCGTGTAGGGGCTCCTGGGAGGGGTGGGCGGGACAGGGCCAGCCAGGAGTGGGATTTGGGGGTTCTCCGAACTGCACAGAATCTTAGCTAGAGGTTCTCCCAAACCCCTGCGAACCCCCTGCAGCCCACCCCTGGAATAGAGGAAGAAAAAGTCCCATTTTTCTACTACAATTCTACTATTGAATTCAATATTGAGTTCTCCTCAATGTGTGGCTCAAGGGAGCCAGAGGGTTAGTTTTATACAGACATTTATTAGAATAAAGTATTAGAACAAAAATCCTAGGGAAATGTTTTGGAGGAAAGAAACATTTCCCTTTGCTTTCTAACAGTTAATAAAATTATGTCAAGAACTTTTTTAAAAACTAAATAAATATTAATATCACATTAGTGATCTGACGTTAATCCAGTATTAGTTATTGAATATTGCTTTTCCCAGTACTGAAATATAGGGAACTATTACTTAAGCAAGCAAGTTATTTATTCCAAGCAAGTCTGCAAAAACCATAGTGATTTTACATGCCAAGCCAAGATGTTCTCTAAGTTTCCACCTCTGTCCAATATATGAATGAGAACCAGTGGAAAAATATACTAGCCATCATGTGTATTTTAATATTTTTAACCAGCAGATATAGCTACAACCTAAATATTGTCTGACAAAGATTAAAAAAAAAGTGAGATTCTTCCAAGCTCTATACATTGTAGACAAAATTACTCCTGTTATAAAATCTAATTAGATCTTTTAGGTGTAGTATTCTATCATATTTAGTGCTCAATTAATTATGTCTAGCTTTTTAAAAAAATGTATCTATTTTTTGTGCAGATGCTTGCTTGGTAACCTTTGACCCAGATACTGCTCATCGCTATTTGAGGCTTTTGGATGACAACCACAAGATCTCCAACACCACGCCCTGGGAGCACCCGTACCCAGATCACCCAGAAAGATTTGCACACTGGCGCCAAGTCTTGTCCAATCAAAGCTTATATATGGGTCGTTATTACTTTGAAGTCGAGATATTTGGAGCTGGTATTTACATTGGCATGACAAACAAGAGCATTGACAGGAAAGGCTCAGAGAGCAACAGTTGCATCTCAGGGAATAACTTCTCCTGGTGTATTAAATGGAACGGCAAGGATTTCTCAGCTTGGCATGTTGATGTGGAGACGCCTTTGAAATCCCAGGAATTCAGCAGAATAGGGGTCTACCTAGATTACCCCAGAGAGACACTCTCCTTTTATGGCATCGCTACTGACTCAATGACTGTCTTGCATACTTTTGAATGCAAGTTTAATGAGCCTTTATATCCGGCCTTCTGGCTATCAAAGAAGGAAAACAGCATTCAGATTGTTAGGTTGCGAGAAGAAGCTGAGCAGGATCCAGAAGCTTCTCTTCCTTCCACAGGAGAATTGGCTTCCAGTAGTTTAGAGACACATGACTAAAGCAATGCACAGTTGAAACTGTTAACTCAGAACCTAGTCATTATCTTTGTTATACAAAGGTCCCCAACACTGGTCAGTTGGGGACTCTTTGTAGAAGAATCCTATTGAAAAATTGTGTTTTATATACTTCAGGTTGCGTATTACCTCTGTGAATATTACCTCTCACTGAGAGAGAAAAAAGTAAATTATAAAAATTCTCCTGTTTTTAAGTGAAAGTATTGAAAATACTTATTTGCAAAATCAACTGCTTTCTGATTGTAAACTTCTAACGGGTGCATTCAAAATAAGAACCAAATGGCTGTTAACATAACACTGCTATGTATTTAACAGATTAACAGAGTTGGAAGGGACCTTATAGGTCATCTAGTCCAACCCCCCACTCAAGCAGGAGACCCTACATCATTTCTGACAAATAGCAGTCCAATTTTTTCTTGAAAGTCTCAAGTGATGAAGCTCCCACAACTCCTGAAGGCAAACTGTTCCATTGGATGATTGTTCTCACTGTCAGAAAGTTCCTCCTCATTTCTAGGTTGAATCTCTCCTTGGTCAGTTTCCATCCATTATTCCTTTTCTGGAATACAGCTTTGGAAAACAGTTTGATCCCCTCCTGTCTGTGGCAAATATTGGAACACTGCTATCATGTCTCCCCTGGTCCTTCTCTTCACTAGACTAGCCATTCCCAGTTCATTGTATTGAAAGAATAAGGACAATTTATCTATATATACAGTCACTCCTTGCCCAATCCCCCTGTACTGCCTACGCTTTAAAAAATACAAGTCAGATGTATTGATCAAATCAGATTTTAGAACAATTGGTGTCCTCAAATCACTTTTGCTGTAGGGAAATAATTGTATACATAAAGATAAAAAGAATTGGCATTACCCACAATGGAGGAATGGTTGGTGAAGATGATGGAACTTTCTGAGGTGGCTAAATTAATTTCTTTGATCAGAGAAAAGATACTTATCTATATTTATTACTGATTGGAAACCTATTATGGCCTTTTGGGCAAGGCAGAAAAAAATGAATGTACTGTATGACTTATGTTTTTCATGATTAGATGGAATAAATTATAGAAAGAAGAGGGTCATATTGTAACCATAGTATATGAAATAGATTTATAATTGTAATTAAACTACTGTAAAGAAGATCAGAAACCATTCTTTGTATATTTTTTGTATTTATGTTTCCTCTGCTCAATAAGCACATTGAGCCCACTTAGAGAGGGCTGTAAAAGCACTATGAAGCCGTATATAAGTCTAAGGGGTATTGCTATTGCTATATTGTATCTCAATGAATATACAGGTATATTATAACCCATACTGTGAAAGAGAGAGAATTCAATGTGTATATTTAAGGAATAGTTAACAGTTCAGTCCATAAAAGTAGCTCTTTTATTATCTGAACTAGTCAATGAGTATTACAATTGCCTATGAAAGTTAACAATGTCTATCATATCAGCATATGGAATGAATTTTGGTGATGTCTCTAGGCAATCTAGCTCAGATGAGTTGTTATTCTGATATTGGGTGCTTGATCGTTCGTGATTGCTTACAATGCCCCAGTATCAGGAGTGAAATTCAGCAGGTTCTGACAGGTTCTGGAGAACCAGTAGCAGAAATTTTGAACAGTTCGGAGAACCGGTAGTGGAAATTTTGAGTAGTTTGGAAAACTGGCAAATACCGCCTCTGGCTGTCCCCAGAGTGAGGTGGGAATGGAGATTTTACAGTATCCTTCTCCCAGGAGTGTGGAGGGATTGGGGATTTTGCAGTATCCTTCCCCTGCCATGCCCACCAAGCCAAGCCAAGCCATGCCACGGCCACCAAACCAAACCACACCACGCCCACCATGCCACAGAACCAGTAGTAAAAAAATTTGGATTTTACTACTGCCCAGTATTATCTGTCTTCATGCTATCTTGCTATATGAGTCTGAAACTTTCTAGCATTGCCAGTGACACATATGATGTTTGCAACAATTAGGATTCAAGATTCTGGAGGATTATGAGCATATGTCTACGCTAGATCGATGTAGATGACTACAGCTTTGACACAAGCTTTAAGGTGGTGCCGGAAGAAAACTGCCTGATATTGGGAGCACAGCTAAATTCTCCAGTGATCGTATGACATTTTGATGTGTACATGCTGCAAAGATGTACAATCAACGTAGAGACTATAAAGGAGGCTCTATTTAGAATATCTATTTTGTCTGGTTAAAGAAATCTGTTACTAACATGTAATTGTAATTACATATTACTGCTTCAGATATTTTAAAGGGTCTCTTAATGTTGGAATGAGAAGTTGACATTCTCTATTGATTTTTAAAACCCTCTTAAACCAGAATGTTTGGTTTCAGTTACTATTTGTTTCTATTCTGACTTAATCAGATTCTGCAAAGTTTCGGATTGGTGAACTGATTAGCTTTTATAAATGGAGTTATTCATTTCCAAGATAGTCTTGTAATGGATACATTTGTGTGGGCAGGATTGTTGATAAGGAGTAACAATGAAGAATGTGTTTAAAAAGTGATAAAAAACAAATGACCTCAGTAAACCTTCAGATTATTCAAATTACGAATAATCAAAAAGTTGGGTTAAAAGTAACATTTTTATAAATGCTCAAAAGATATTTGTTTAATATGTCACTAAATGAATTGAAAGCTGATAATAAATAAATATAATTTTATCATTAGCTAATTCTTTTTCAGTCCAAGTAGCATTTTAGGAAGATTTAGGAAGGCCTAATAACTCAGTTCTTTCTCACAAGGGGGCAGTGTTGTGCCATAATAATTGGTACACTTGCTATAATTGCAAACATAAATGTGAGAAATTTGTTTTTCAGTGCCTTAGAAGGCAAATTATGTATGTTCAAATGTATCTTAATGCTTTTGAATGGCTCACATTTTTTTTCCAGGCATGTATTTTTCAGGCTAATAAACTGAAGTTTATTCTAAATATTCTTGCTCAAGAAAAGAACTGGAATTCAAATGATATAGTATGGAGTGACATCTCCCTTTTTAAAATATTCGGCTTATACCAGAAAGGAGCACCTGCATTTCTCTTGAGCCCAGAATGCTTAGGTGGCAACCTTTTCAGAAACTGCATCTATTTCAGGATAGATCAAGTGTGGCTGTAAGAACACCAATCTCAGTCTACAATTGAACTAGGCTGCATCTGCCCTCATTTTTGTGATGTTTTCTTTGAATGGCTCTGGAAATATTAACTGGGTCAAAATCCAGATGCTAGTTTGGGAGGAAATGGCTGTTTCAGAAAAGCAGCAGTGTCTTCCAGGCCCATTCTAGACACAAAATGGGGTGATCCCTGAAAGCCCTAAGACCATCTTCTAAAGTCCCACTTTGATTGATTAGGTTGCATTTTCTTATATATTTAAAAGGTTATGGAACTTCAAAAGCACTGAAGAGGATATTTTAATTTTTTTTACACAGTTATCCAATATGTGGTTCTCCAACCTCCACCTCCAACCAATTGAGTCTCTGGGGTACATTTCACCTTAAGTGGTTATTCTGCTGTAAAATGGTTTCAGGTATGGCATCAGCTGAGAGTCCAGTGTAGGGGTAGACATTTGGCGATTGTAATCCTGAAATCCAGTGGTGGGTTGCTACTGGTTTGCCCCGGTTCGAGTGAACCGATAGCAGCGGTGGAAGGAGGCTCCGCCCACCCACCCGGACGTCTCTGCGCATGCACAGAAGCTTCTGCACATATGCAGAAGGGTTGCACATACACAGGACTGCGCATGCATCCACAAGTGAACTGGTAGCGACTGGATTTGAAACCCACTACTGCTGAAGTCTCTTAAAGCTTTGAGGGACACTGCTACACAGGTTGCCAGTTGTGAGATCCTGTTCATTAAGTTGAGCTCTAAGGAGCAGTTGGGATTGTTGCTGTTATACCAGCTTCCCTGCCTGAGCCGCTGGACTCTGTGGCTGGATTTGTGGGAGAGTTTTCAGACATATGGTTCTGGGGGACTTTAGTCTGCTGGCTCTGTTATTAAAGTCAGAGACAGTTCAGGAGTTCATGGCTACAATGACAGCCAAGGGCCTATCTCAGTTTATCCTGAGCCTGACATGGGACAATGGCTCACACTTCATCTGTTTTTTTTCTGTCTGAACAACGGCAAGTGATCTGAATTGAGAGAACTCCTATGCTGATTACCATGGACTTCTCAGGTGCCACTATCTACTGTAGGGAGGTAGGACCTATGAGACCAATCCGTCCTAGGTGACTGATGATCTGGAGGACTTCAGAATGAGCTGAGGTTATTGTAGTTCCAATTCAGGGTGCTATTTTCATCCTTAAAGTCCTTCTTGACATGGGGTGGGTTACTTGAGTAGCCTCCTCTTCCTGATTGTAAGTGCACTTCCCATAAGGTCTTGCACATGAGGTAAATCGCAGGTCCCATCTATGAAGAAGTTACATATGACAGGACCCAGGAAACAAATCTTTTCTGCTGTGGCACCTGCCCTGTGGAACATCACCAATCCTCAAGTGAGGTCAGCCTCATCTCTCCTGAGCTTCCAGAAATCCCTTCAAGCTTGGTTTTGTCACCAGGCACCTTTCAAAGGAATGGTAATTTGATTAGATTTCTCTGTTGTTTATAATCTTATACTCTCTCACTCTCTTAGCCTTTTATAATATTACATTTTTGTACTTTTGAATGCTTTTAAAATTGTTTATATGGTTGTTTTATGCTACCCAGAATCCATTTGTTTATAACCACATTGCTATGGCCAATTATTGTAGTGATTGTGATCGCTCAATTATGTAAGCCATTCAGTTAATAATAATAAAAAGTATTAGTAAACAAATGATAGGATAAGACTGTGCCTTTTATTCTTCAAGCCATTCTACCACAAATCCCTGGACCTTGTTCACTCCCCTTATACCACACAATGTGTCAAGACCACTTTTCCTTCATCAGCTAATTAAGAAGCGTTTGCCTCTACCTTACATGAATGGCAGAAACTAGTAAATCCATTGAGGCTCTTGGAAGCTCCCCAGCAGCTTGGGACATGTGAATTCCTCTCCTTATGAGACTTGCCAGATGAATGTTTGGATTGCAAAGTCCAAGAATCCAGATAGAGTTTGGTAAAACAGAATGTAGAAAAGGGATGCCCTACCCTGGCAACTTTAAGGCTTATGGACTTCAATTCCCAGAATTCTTCATGCTGGCTGAGGAATTCTGGGAGTTGAAGTCCATAAGTCTTAAAGTTGCCACGGTTGGCGTTGGACACCTGTGCTGTAGTAGCAGATGCTTGATGGCAGATTTGAGTCATTTGGTTCTTCCCTCATAGGAACTTGTCAAATATTTAACTCCACTTTAAGTGATTACTTCCATTGGTATCACTGGAAGTTGCCTTTGAGATACTAGTTACAGCTTTGAAGAATAAGTGTATGAATAGGAAGAGTCACATTTTCCCAAATGTCTACTTTACTGCTATTTTCTGTCTCTTTCTCTATTTTAACTGGGCTACCAAGAAGATAATTTGGAAGGGCTCCATCAAGGCAGGGAATCAGTGGCCGATTCTTTACTTAGACTAGGCTTCTTAACCTGGTTGAAGCCCATCTGTCTAGGCATACCTTTCAAAATGCCACAGATGACAGATGGGTTCAGTAAGCAAGAGCCCTGCTACCTATCTTTCTCTGAATGGGCACTTCAGAGGAAAAACAAAGACCTTTGAGAGTGGCAAAGGGCAATTTTGCTTATGAGAGAGGCAAGCTTTGTCACATATGGACAAGCTGTTAGGGAAATGTAACACAATCTTATTTGGCTATTCAGCAGCTTTAATTCCTGTCATGGCAATTTGCCAATCCCAGGCACCCAGCATTGCCTTAAATAGAATATATGTCTACTTTTGCTCCCGGTATATACGCATTAGCTTGACTATACTATATTCCTTCAAGGTGATTTATTTCTCTTCTATATATTTAAGGGAAACAACCTGCAAAAATTGGCATGCAAACAAGCCCGCTTGTTACACTTGGTTAATAATTTGAATGTAGCTGTAAAGCAAATGCCCCTATTACCCTTTAAAACTCACTAAGAACTGACATTTTTGGATGGAGTGGAAGAAGGTTTCGAGCAGAACACGGCAGCTTCTCAATAGCCTGGAGAAAATGTAAGGGATATCCAGCTTAGGCAGCAATTCTGGATGTCAAAACAAGTTTCCTTGCTGTCATAAAATGCTATTTGGATTTTACATTTTTAATTAAAATTTTAATTATCCCCAGAGTATTTTATTAGCTTTTATGAAGACAGCTGCTTTTTATCCTATCAACCAAAGCTTTGCTCTGCTCTAAAGAGCAACTTGTCCCAGTTAGGAGTTTTGTCCTGAATAATTTTCATCATTGGTAAACTAGGTTATTTAATTTAAAGTGACATTTACCATCCGATATTTGATTGAAATGGCTTTTTATTGCAGAAGCAGCAAAATAACCTTGGATGGGGATTTTGTGCTTTGCTTAGATAAAATGAAATCTTCTCAAGAACCTAATTTCCCCTTATTTCCATACTGGATCTCGATTCCACCCACTGTTTCCATACCATTAGCAGCATGAACCCAGCAAGATCCCTAGAGAAATCAGTGATTGTTAGTTAGTATAGTTTATTGAATAGCCCGAAGGCCTTTTCAAACAAAACAGAAAAGAAAAAGGGAAAAAGATAAAACAGTTACAAAAATAGCAATCTAAAAATATATGATAGATGACATTAAAATTTTACAATATCAAATTTCAATAGCTAAGTTGCCAAGACTAGATAACCCAAATAGGATAGCTCCTCTCTAACTGAGCTCATCTTCCTTACAATCAATAATTTTTTTTTTGATATAACTGGCTCATATTGCCGTCATTCTTTTAAGGTATCGAGTGATCGCTCTTACCAGGGGAGGAGAGTCAGCCCTCAACAGAAATGCTAATTTTTGGCTTATATTCCAGTGGGGAAATTTATTTATAATTGGGGACAGATATTGTTTTCTTACTTCTTGATAGAGACTACATTCGAATATTATATGCGCCGTGTCCTCCATGACGTTTACCCCACATATGCATATTCTTTTGTCATACGGGATTTTCCGATAACAGCCGAATCTAACGTTGGTATCTAGAAGTTCGAATCTAAATTTAACAAATAACTGTCTCTCCACTGATGGCATTTCTAAATGTAAATACTTTTCCAGAGTGAAAGTTGTTTTAACTGCTGTCAGCAGTTTAAGGGAATGATTAGTTGAAAGGGTTGCCATGTCCATTTGCCCATGTATATCTTTAATCCGTTGTTTAACTTGATTCAGTGTGTCACACAACGGGAACCCTATGCCATATCGGTTCAATATTTCTGACAGCCGGGTTAGCCAGGAATACCTTTGAGGATTTGAAATCTGCTGTTCTTCTAGACATATTTTAGGGAGTCTGCTGGCATCCATCTGGGTCATTTTTAGCCAGTAGGCTACCGCCCTAATGATTGTATAGGTGTACAGTGAGAAATGTCCCAATTCAGCTCTGACGGCTGCAGCTGAAGTGGAATTGTTTACCCCAAGCATCCTCTTTAACAAATTATTTTGAGTTCTCTCTAATATGGGGGCCTCTGTAAGACCCCAAATTTCAGCACCATAGAGCATGATCGGAACAAGTTTAGCCTGAAAGACTTTACAAAGAGGTAAAATGGAGGTTGGTTGGATTCGTTTACTTAATTTGGATACAAGGCTTGCTCCTGCTCTGACCTTTTGAGAAAGGTATTGATGGTGCGGAGTCCAACCTCCTGCACTGGAAAAAACAATTCCAAGATAAGTATATTGGGTAACTTGCTCAATTTTTGTGTCATTAATCTGCCAATTGTGCTTTTTATTCTTATTGCCAAAGACTAAAACTTTTGATAGCTACATTTATAGTCAAGTGGTTTGCAGTACAGTAATCAGTGATTGCTGTTAGTGGTTTGTGGTTTGGAGCATATTATGGGATGATATGGTTGGAATTGTTTCAATTGTCTATTGAAAACCTGGATAATAAACCTGAATCTTAAGTGTATTTTTTCAATATAAGCAAGTTTGTTACTAGCTGCCTATTTTAATTAAGGTTCAAGTATCTGCTCTTTTTAAAGATTTTTTAAAAATCCTGCCTTTATTATTTGTATACATATCTCAAGGCAGCAAACATACCTAATACTCTTTCCTCCTCCTATTTTCCCCACAATGACAACCTTGTCAGGTGTGTTGGGCTTAGAGAATGTGACTGGCCCACAATCACCCAGTTGGCTTTCATGCCTAAAATGGGACTAGAACTCACAATCTCCTGGTTTCCAACCTGATGCCTTAATAACCCCCCCCCCTGGTTCTAACTTGCTTTGTAATCCTGGTGCTTAAATTGAGCTCTCATTGTTTTTTCTTGGAGGGGTGCAATGGTTCAGTGGTTAAGGCACTGAGCTTGTCAGCTGGAAAAATCAACAGCTTGGGTTCAAGACCTGAGCGTTATGTGACAAGGTTAACTCCAGTTATTCACTCCTACCAACCTAGCAGTTCAAAAACATGCAAATGCAAGTAGATAAATAGGTACCACTTTGGTGGGAAGGTTGCAGTATTCTGTATTTTCATATTGGCCATATGATGACGGAAATATCTTTCAGATAATGCAGGCTGAGTATCAGAGATGAGCTCCACTATCTTGAATTGGCCATGACTGGACAGGGAAAACCTTTAAACTTTTAGTTTTTCTTGGAAGACATGGTATTCCATGGACATTGTTCCAATCGGGACTGTGCACAAATGACCTTCAGGAAAGCAGCATTCTATTGGTAGGATAGTTTTTACCCTTGATTCATCATTCATTGTAGCATAGACATTTCTTCTTGGAGGAGCAATTAGCAAAAGAAGCAATTGCACAGCTGGGTCCCAACTGACATCCTTAAAAATGCCCTGGATTAGCATGGTCAGGAAAAAAGAGGCATTCCTCATTCCTCACTGGGGATGCATGAATCTCTCCTCTCGGCATAGGTGACGTGGGGAAGAAGAAGCACATATAATACATACCTTGCCTTTTGCTGCTCTTGTCAAACATCTAAAAGTTCTCAAGAACAGCTTTTCAGGGAGCACTGAGCTAGAGATGAACAAGAGTTAACATTTAATTTTTCTGTGCCATGAATACCAAACCTGCTCCTTCATGCATGACACAAAGTCCTGAAAAGTCAAAACTTTTCATCTAGGTTGACCTTAAAAAAACCAGAAGAATCATACAGATATCTTGGATACTTGTAGAAACCTTGGATGAATCAAGAAAGAGCAGAGGAAGGCTACCAATAGCCTCTCACCGACCAGTACGCTCCCATAGAGAGGGGCTTCTCAGGGTGCCGTCGGCCAAACAGTGTCAACTGGCAGCCCCCAGGGGGAGAGCCTTCTCTGTGAGGGCACCTACCATCTGGAACGAGCTCCCCCCAGAGATACGGAGGATCCCGGACCTGCACACGTTTCGTCATGCTCTTAAAACTTTTTTATTTCAGCAGGCTGGCCTGGCCTAACTCTCCTCTTTTAAATTTTTAATTCGTTTTGATTTTATAAATTGGGTGTTTTAATCTCTGTTTTGGCCAAAATATTTAATAATTTTAAGGGATTTTTTAATATTTGTATTATCTGTATTTTATCTTGGCTGTTCACCGCCCTGAGTCCTGCAGGAGTAGGCTGGTATAGAAAAAATTAAAAAAAAAAAAAAAGGCTGAACCCCAAGCAAAACCTGCCCCTCCCTTTCTTTTATTAGTTTCCCTTCCATGGCTAGTAACAAATTAAAGTTCAAAGGAAGTTCTACTAGATTAGATTTA